CAGCAGAGTAAGAGCTGGAGCAAACCTATTCTCTGCTGATTCTCAAGGGGTAAGAACCATTAGCATGGGGAAAAATTGCATGCAGTAACTTCTTAAAATACTACAAGAAGATCCACCATAGCTCGGTCAAAACCCCCTGCAAGGGTCCAAATACAACATGCAGAACCACTGAAATCCCTGCTCAGGTGCAAATTAAGAAGAATACATTGAATCCAATTTCCCATTTGGATACTTAATGCCACCCAAAATCCTAACAGCTCTCCTTAACTGTGTGTCTACTTTATGACTTGGAGTCTCCGCAGAATTCTTAAACTTGGTATTTTTTTTTTCTAATATACAGGCCAGTGACTGGCCAGCATACACAAAAGGGAGCTGAAGATTTACACACAAATGTGTTTCCCAGCAGTGAGCACACTCTCCTGTGATGTGGGAAGCAATATTAATTGAAGTGAGATCTTGCAGGCTGACTCTACCACATCCCAGGGAAATGCCCTAGCCCTTGGGCATTGAGTTAATCTCTCATTAGCTATCCCTCTGGTCTCTTGAATAAATTATTTATGAAAAGCAAAAAACTTCAATAGGAAAAAGTGAAAAGAGATTTACCATGGAGTTCCTGGTAAAAAAGCCAATTCTTCAGAAGGCGATGTATGTTTAAAAAAAAAAAAAAAAAGCCAATTTAGATAACAAATCAATTTGCACTTTGGAGGCAAGTACACATTAAAGCTAGCCAGATGCTGCCCTGTATGGAGGAAAAATGAATTCTCTTCTCTCACTACCAAGCAGAACAAAAATACATACATAGAGTTCCTCCTGACAGAACAAAGAGGATATTCCTCAGGCTGAGGTACCTCATCCATGTCTCAACCCCAGGCTACCTCACCTTAAAGAACATGGCTTATTTGACCAAGGGCCCCACCTGGAGCAGGGCTGACAGCTGAAAATCCCAACTAGAAAGTGAATTCCCTTTTGAGGTACTGTCATATGCCTATTTTGAAGAACATAGTTTGAAGAACATAGGGCCCTCTACATTGGCCCTAACCAAATCTGACAACAGTTTGCTGAATTCCACAGCTCCTTGGCTGCACTTCCATTTCTAGCTTTACACTATACAAAAGCAGAACAAATAATTTCAGTAAGTGACTAGTACCCTGATGTGTCCAACAAGGCTATTCCCCATAGCTTGGATGCCCAACACCAAGCTGCACAGTGCCTCCATCTGTATGGTTCAAAACCTACAATTCCTTCAGAAGGGTGTACACCCACTTTTATGCTCCATAGGAAAAATTGAGAGCTCATCACTTCCATTTAAAATACCAGTGGGCAGAGGAAGAGAACAATGAAAGACCTCCTATGAAAAAATCTCATGACCCTCCATGGGACAGGCTGATCCACTGTGGGCATAAACTGCTGTAACTTCAGGAACTGCCATGACTTACAACAATCCTCACTACTGCTGTGTAGCCAGAATCTGTTACAACAGAGGGGAACTTTGGACTCAAGCACAAACCTACAAGGACACTGCTGGAGTTTTCTCTAACATGATAGTAACTGCCTGACTTGATTCTGTGTACATACAACCCTGTTCCTGTGCGTGTTTGAACAATCATGTGTCCAAGGAAAACACTCAGCTGGCCAAAACACTAATCCAATCCTTGGGCCTGCAATTGTAAATGTGTAAAGTGCTTCTGAGCACAGGCAGATGACCATCGGAGTCTGTGGCTCCTCCCTTCTTCTGTGATCATCTTCTTCAGATGTGCAACCTGTGTTGGTTTACAATATTTACTGAGCATTTTGTTTAGATTTCAGCCCCCAAATGAATCCCTTTCTGATGTCTTGCAGATTTCGAGTGGTTTGTAAACCTGCTAGAACAGTGGTTTACAACTCAGTGGGGTGCAGGTTGAATGGATAAAATCAGATCAGCAGGATAAACTGTGATATAAATCATCTATCTAAATTTATCTAAATTTATGTCTAACTGCTGAAGACTTAACTGTCTTAGCTCTAGCAGTGGGATTCAAATTATCTCCACATAAGTAGCATAGTTTTGACATGAAATGCCTATAAATCTATGCTGTAACTTAAGCATTCATGAATACTTAATCATATGTTGTATCAAAAAATTCTTTCAATTTCCTATTCGTACAGAAAAGCAGTAGTTATGAAAAACCAAATGCATAAAAAACCCTCTTACTATATGTTCGTCCTTGGACGTAGGATTTATGTTAAAATATCAATGCTTATTTTAGGAGCATACCTGTTTGAAAATAGATTTCAAATTCTCAGTCTTCAAGGCCCAGATTATCCTTCATTAATATTACATGAACACAAAAAAATGCATCAAGGAATCCCCCCTGGAGTACAGTGCATGTAGGGATGTGGGGGGCATGTTACAACTTCACAAAAAGTACCTGTAAGACCACTCCAAGCCTTCCAATTACAGCATGATGCCCCATATTGCATAATGTAAGCGTCCAAACCAGTTCAGTTTTCGCAGTGTAACAAATGTTTTGCAATAATAAACAAATTATTTATGTTTTCCGCATTTAGTTATTTAGAAAGACTTTTTTTATTAGATTTGGGTTAAGATCAGCGAGCAAGTTCAAGGAATTCATGGAAGGGCAAAACTAATGTTACTGTAAGATACAGCACCAATTAGAAAGTGGGAAGAAGGAAAGTTTCTTTTCTTTTTCCAGCTAGTGAATTAAAAAATGTTGGACAAGGAGAAGCCCTATTCACCATAAAACCATTAAGATCAAGGGCTAGATTTTGGAAATAATTGTTAGTTTTAGAGGAGTGGTGGAATTTTTAAAAGAGCAGATCAGGCATCTAACTCTCTTAGATATTAGACACTTGACTGTTTAATGGGGTTTTCAGCAGACCTAAATCCTTTTGAAACAATTAGTTAAATAATTGAAAATATTTTGTATTTCCGCTGGTTAGCAAGTCAGTTTTTAAATGCAAAACGAGTTTTTAATAAACATAGGGCCTGTCTCTCAGGTCAGGTGCAGTCAGTCGTGCTCACATTGAGCTTATGCTCTCAGTAGGCTGGACACAAGCCAGACTCTGTACAGATGCCATGGAAACTACATTGTCAAGTTCATTTTAAGACAGTGCTGCAGCCAAAAGAAACAATCTCTGCCCTCAACAGGCCCCAAACACTCATCCCTAACCACTACATTACCACCTCCCCTCTGCCAGCATAATGAACTGAATCACTGATCTTGTTTAGGTTAAAACTAACTTCCTTTTTTTTGGCCAGATTAGGTTTGATCCTGGTCCAGCTCACTCTGTTGCTGCACAAACACTTGTGCAAGGAGAGGAAGCAGCAAGAAGAGCAAGTCTACTTCATTTGGTGGCAATGCTGGTCTCTGTCAAAGCACATGACTGAACACATCCTTATTCCTTCTTTACAATACTCATCACGTTTAAGGTACATCTATTCAATTAAATGTAATTTTGTAATTCTGTTTTGTACATTTTAATTAAATACCATTTTTCATGTAAATCGAGTATGACTCAGAAACGAAAATGAAATTAAGCAGTAAAACCTGTCACTTGTAAACTAAGACAGCAAAAATTCAGAACATGAAAGAATGTTCTTAGGTTTACTTCTGATACCTAAAAAGAAATAACTAATTCTGTGTAAAGCTCTCAGCTGTTCACAAATTACTTTAGTTATTCCGACTAAGGAGAACTTTCTTTATGAAAATAATATACAAAAAGTATTTTTAAAAGGTAAAAAATCAGGTCATCTGCTTTGGTGCAATCTATTTGAACCCTTGCTTTTCCTTTTCTGTACCGTATCTCACTGTTGGACTTAAACACACTTCCTCCATATACATTCCTGTTCTGCCTTTCCAACTGAGGTGTCCAGAAGCTAAGCAAAGAAAGAATAAGAGATGTGTTTTGTAGCATGTATTTCTAGGGCTGTCCAAATTTTTATGCATTTCCCCTTCCACCCCTCTGCCTGGATAAAAGCTCATCCTGGACCAGTCATCCAGAGAAACAACTGGTTTTGTGCAGGTCCAAGGAAAGCGTTCAAGGAACATGTAGCGCTTTGCACTCCAAGAAGCAACCTTCCTTTCACACCTTGCATTTCCGGCGCTGTTGGAGGTACCAGTTCTCTGTGATCCTGTGTGACTCACGCTGATATAAACATGATAAAGGACAGGAGTTCCTCTCCTGCTTCCCAACTGCAGGTGCTGCGGCTGGGCTGGTAGAGCAGTGGAGTAATTCACAGAATCACAGAATTGTTAGCACTGGAAAGGACCTCTGGAGACCATCCAGTCCAAGGCAGAAACACAGGAACACATCCAGGTGGGTTCGGAATGTCTCCAGAGAGGGAGACTCCATGACCTCCCTGGGCAGGCTGTTCCACTGCTCTGTCACCCTCAACGTAAAGTTCTTCCTCATGTTGAGATGGAACTTTTTGGCTTTTAGTTTATGGCCATTGCTCCTTGTCCTGTTGCTAGGCACCACCAACAAGAGTCTGGCAGCATCATTTCAGCACCTGTCTTTGAGATATTTATATGAATGAATGAGATCCCCTCTCGGTCTTCTCTAGGCCGAACAGTCCCAGCTCCCCCAGTCTCTGCTTATGAGAGATGCTCCAGACCCTTAAAGATTTGTGGATGTCAGCAACGAGCTGGCCAGCAACGGGCTCAGGATGTGAACTATCCGCACCAAGGCAAGGCCCAAAGAGTGAGGTGAACCACAAAACCAGCACGGGGTGAAGACGACAGTGCCAGCCCCAGGTGAGCAGTGGGCACAGGGGGCACCGCACAGCAGTGACCCCACGCTCCACCGGGCTGCCCACCTCCAGCCCCACCTCAGGGCGGGCCGAGGGGGTGCCGGGGGCAGCGCAGCCGCCCCAGGGGCGCCGCGGGCGGAGCGGGGCGGGCGGCGCCATGAGGCGACACCGCCACCGCCCCAAAATGGCGCAGGCGGGGGGTGAAAGGCACCGGCGGGAGGGGGCGGGGGGAGCCGGCGGCGCCACTCACCTGCCGGTAAGAGAGGCGGAAAGGCCGCAGGTACAGAGAGGAGGTGCAGGGCTGGAGCGCCAGCTCCTCGATGGCCTCCATCCCTGCCGGGGGAGGAGGGGGAGAAGGGGAGGAGGAAGGGGAGGAAGGGGGGAGGCGCGCGCAGCCGCCGGCAGCCGGGCCGGGCAGGGCCGGGAGCGGCCCCGGGGCGCTGACGGGGCGCGGGTGCGGCGCTGTCCTGCCCTCTGGCAGAGCCGGGGTCAGTGAGTGCTGCGTTTCGCCCCCAAAACGGGGACACAGGGGCCCCGTCGCCTTTATTCACAGAGCCGTAGAATCGTCAAGGTTGGAAGACACCTTTAAGATCAAGTCAAGCGTCAACCGAGCCCTGCCACTGTAACCCCTAAAGCACCAAACCACATCGCCCAGCGCCAGGTCCAGACGCCTCTTAAACACCTCCAGGGATGGTGAGCCCATCACCTCCCTGGGCAACCTATTCCAGTGCCTGACCACCCGAACAATGAAAATTTTTTTTCTGATATCTGATCTGAATGTCCCCTGTGCCAGCCTAAGCCCATCTCCTCTCGTCCTTTCACTGCAGGCACGGCAGAAGGGACCGGCCACCACCGCACTGCAACCTGCCTTCAGGTAGTTGCATTGTTCTCCAGAAACACCGATTGGTGATGATGTTTGCTCAGAAGGTTGGCACATGCTCTAGGGGTCAGTTATTTCCACATATTACACCAAAATTGATGGGGTGTTCCTGCACTGAACTGAACTGAAACCAACCTCCAAAGCCTGGATGCCACCTGCGTGCTACCTTTTTTGCCACAAGTTATCCCGATCCTGATTATACATGAGGCTTTGCAGGATGAGCACCTTGCTGTTAAAAGCACAGTCACTTATGCCGGCCTGCGTGGTGCTTTCATGTCAGAATGGGGGTTGTATGAGTGGTGTGGAAAATGCAGGGGTGAATACAGATTCATTGGTAGCCTGCAGTGCATCACTCGGTGCTTCTCCCAACTTTCCCTTTCAGGGTCAGCTTCCAGTCGTGGCCACACACCCAACGCGTGGCAGAAGAATAAATGTGGCTCAATTAAATTCTTTTGTCTTTTTTCAACCAAGTTACAAAATAATTACCCTCTCTCCCTTTAGTTCATTTTTGTCTTAAATAAATCACTATTAGATTTAGCAGTTTTCTGATTTTCATAGGAGTTTGATCATTGTTATGCAACATCAGGTTAGATTATCCTTGTTGTTTTAATGCTTCTAATAATGATTTTTTAGGTTCATGAACAACAGAGCTCACTATTTGTAGTGGTCATTATCTCTCTGATTTGTGGTCACTTTCCGTGCAGATGTTCCTGTGTACAGCTATTTTGGTTGCTGTATAAATCAAATTATTTTGTCAATGTATCGACTGCACTGAGACTAATCTGAAATTTCTTGCATATGTTTCTTTTTTTGTCTTCTAATGTACTTCCACGTCATCACTAAGAAGGTTTATTGTCTTGTCCTGTGGTAGTAAGAATCCCAGCAGTCTGGCTAAAAGGAACAGACCGAGCAATTACAAAACTCGCTAAGAAGTAAATGAGGCAGCACTTACATTGCAGAATGCTTACCATCAGTTCTGATAACACAAGTGGCAAAAAATGTTTGGTGGGGCTGAAAACTGTGGTTTTAAAAGTATGTTTGCAAAGCTATCATAAAAAGTAGGCAAGGAAATGTATTTTATTAGCTGACTTTGAAAATATTTGTGTAACTCTGCATCACTGTATATGTCCATATATTTCTGCTTTTTTCAGAACGATCTTGAGGTCATTCAGAGCTCCTGGGAACTTAAGCTATATTTTTCTAGTAAGTTATTTCAGTCTTCTAAGTCCAATTTAAGTATAAACACAGTTTCCATGCACAGCAGGTTTACAGTATCTCTGTTTGCTTATGTTAAAAGTTACCGGCTACCCAGGTCGGTTCAGCCACTCAGATTGCCCTCTTCAATAAACATTCTGACACCACTTTCAGGTTTTGAGTGTGTGTGTGTTTTGAGGAACGTGTCATACTGTGTGATGGATTGCTTATTCCATTCCTAGCCTTAGGTGGGAAGCTTTTGGGGTTGTGATGTGTCACAGACCTGATCTTGTTAATGTACCTGGAACAGTCGAGTGCATTGTCACAGGAAAACACATTTTGGGGTGCTCTGGTGTTGCAACTTAGACTTGTCGATTTTTTTGTTGGAAAATCTTCTTTGTGAGTATGCCAGCTGAACTGAGGGTTTAACAGGCTGAGACTGAGGAGCTGACTTAGTGTTCCCATTTTACAGGTGAAATCTGAGTGAGAAAATAAATAGGAAAAATATGTCCTGCATAGTGGGACTACCATTCACCACCTGGACCTTATTTTCATTACTGTTCTTCATTAAGGCCTAGCTAACCTGTGCAGCAAGTGCCTTTACATTTGCTAGTCCAAGAACAATCCCAAGAAGGAAATTCCCCTAAGTTCCCACTTATTCAGATGGATAGTAGCGAAGGGGGAAAAACTTCTGGATGGGTGAAATGCACTCCTGCTTTCCTGTTCCCTTTCACTGCTTTCGTGGCTTGCCTCTGCTGACTGGAATAGTGATTCCAGCCTAGCTCTAAGTGCACTGGCTTCACAGCAATAATTATGAGATGATACAATGCAGAGATGCTGCTCAGCAGCTCAACTCAGGGGTTGAGAGAGCTCTGTTTCCACATAAAGTCCCACCAGGGGATGTGCCCACCATGCACACACCACTTTTTCTGGAGTAACTTAATTCCAAAGGAAATGGAGAGACCAGGCGTGTTTGCTCAGTCCGAGCGCTGCCCCAGCTTCTCTGTTGGGTGTTACTTCACATCCCTGTGTGTCTGCTCCTTTTTAAAGTAGCAGTACTAGTGGTGTTCCTCCAGAAACTTGGGAAAACAGGCATCCATAATTCCAGAGTGTCCAATGACTCTGTTCATGTCTATTACCTTCAATGAGAAGATTATGATACTTAAGTTTAAGCTCACATTTAACTGCCTGCAAAATCTCTTGGATTTGATTAGCACCACTCCATTAAGTATCATTTACATTTCTATGATACTGTCCCTAAATCATCAGTTCCCAAACTTCTTACATCCTGGATTACTCTTGGCTGTCACAGCTTCTTTGCAGAGCACTATCCAGGTTTACCTTTGCACTCCTAATTGAAATAGCTACCGCTGATATCCTTCCACGAACCAACTGCCTCATGCCATCACATCTTCCTTGCTAAGTGACACTGTTAATTTGACTCCCAGAAACCAGGAATGTGTCAGAATGACAGGTTGCATTTCATTACATTAAATGCATTCCTTTTTCCCCCTTAACAGTGGCTTCTGTGCTGTATGTTGTTTTCTTGCATTTTAAAATAACAGATGTAAGGATGTGAATGCTGCCGTGAGTGATTTCCTCATGAGTTCTTTATTTCCTGGAGCTGCTGGTCTCCTGTTGTAAAATACTAAAATCTAGATGTTTCACCCACACAGGCTCTGAAGGCTCTGAGAATGGTTTGTGTAACAGTCTAATAAACAACCTAATAAAGAAAGCAAAAAGCTGAGTAGAACTTTGTTCCTTTCCTGGAAAGGAAGATCAGCAGAGTACGTCAGCAGGCAGAGAGAGAAAAAGGAGAAGTGTCCTGTCTGGAGCTGAAGAGTCTCAAGGGAAGATTCACAGGGATTTCTTACAAGAAATGAAATGTTAACATTAGCGTTAAAAAGGAGTTCTTTCTGCAAGGTAAGGTTCTTTGTTTAACAGACTTCTCTCCAAAGCAGTGTTTGCCCTGTGTTACTTCGTGAGTAACTTATATTACCAGCAAAGTACCCAAATATTTTTTTTTTTTTTGCATTGCACTTTTAAAAAAATCCCCTTGAGCTTTAAGTTTCTACCGACACAGTCCTTCCCTTTCCCTTCCAGTCACACAGTCCTTGGGCATACACTCTGCAGAGGGTCAGGTTGCATCCTCATTAGCAGTTTGTTTTATTGCTGTTTGCTTTGGGACACAACCGGGAACGTTCCCGTCCAGAGCCTGGTGCTACTGCCCTTCTGCTCGCGGTGGCTCCGGGAGCCAAGCACACCCTCCCACCTCCACCTGCATGCAGGTTTACCGTGAGTGGAAAACCAGGAATGTCCCTTGCAGTACTTCCCTCTTCCTGCTGGAGCGTAGTGAGGTGCCTGAGCTGTTGGGTTCATTCATGCACAGTTAGGCAGCACGTTTTCCTTAGCGATTTCTGTGTGTGTGAGCATCTGCATGTGCTTTTAATCTCCATCAATCCCTGCCAGGATCACTTTGCTCTTTGACATGCCATGGCTCATGAACAAAAAATCATCAGGTCCTGAGCGTTTCTTATCTCCAGAGGACTCCTCGAGATATTGCAGAGTATCATTACTTTCTTACAACTTTTGACAGTTGTGAGTTGTTATGGTAGTAGTAACAGTAGTTACTAAGATACTACAAATATGGAAGCCTCAGGAACTAGAGGCACACTGACTTGCAATTCTCAGCTTTCATTTTTAAAAGACAATTTCTAACCCTCATGGTTGCAGAAAAAAAAAAAAAGGGCGGGAAATGAAACAATGACGAACCTGTCGTTTGTGAGCTGTTAAGCACAGGTCCTGTGCCAAGGTGATGCCACATATTTGGTAGAAGGGCTTTGCTGTTGGGGTGACAGATAACATGAATGCCCAGCTCTGGGCAGCAGAGGCTGCTGAAGCCAAGGGGCACTGGCTGACCCAGGATCCGGCTGTGTGCCCAGTTCAGCCCGTCCAGCTGCAGATGACTTGGGATGCCAGCAAAACCATTTCCCTCTGCCTGGAAGCTGCTTCCAGAACTTCCTCCTCAGCTCCCATGTGCAGTTTTTGTTAAGATCACATAAGGTATCAGGAAGGCTGGACACCTTTGCTGCACATGCTTAGAGAGAAAGGTGGGTGGAAGTGTCCAAAATTCAGCATATTTTGTAAACTCATGTTGGAAATCCTTACAGTTGACAGCATGAAATCTTATCCTCTTCATGTGGGTCATCCTTGCATTGCCACAGAGATGTTAGTTTTGAGTGCCTTTCTTGGTATCAGATGCTTGTTCTTTCCATAATGAAGTGGCTGTTGTGAA